GCAGTCGGATTTCACCGTCAGTCCGGTTGATTTTCCACTCTTCGGTTTGGTGGCGGCAGTGTGTGACCAACAGTCTTAAAACCACTGCCCTGAAGAAGGAGCGAAAACCATGGAACTTATATGGTGTAACCAATTAGAAACTGCATTTATTGGAGACAAATTAGCATTACCGAATTTGCATGTACAAATGCTTGTCGTTACATGAATGACTCAGCTGTAGAACCCTCACGGTGCCTAGCTGCCATGCCACTCGTAGGAAGCACGAGGGCCGAAATACTGCTAGGCTGCTCAAACCTAGAAAGGAGCAGTCGAGACGCAGTGGTCGGATTCGAACTACGGACCTTCGAGTCTACAGGTGTGCGCCTCAACTGCTTTGCCATCTCAAAATCTCTTACAGAAATATGAAACTGACTAATCAGTTTACACCTATGACAGCCACATTTTGACCGTTGTTTTCGTGCCTGTTAATGAAACTTTTGCATCCGGCTTGCCTAGCGAGTCAAGCAAAACGTTGGTCATCGTGGACGTAGCAAGCTAGATTTGACACTGTCCATTTGTGTCCAGTAATCAATTGGGCCACGTTGAATTACGCGCAAAACCCCAAAAGCCAAACCGTTCAACTTGTGGTTTATCAACGACTGCATGACCCTTTTGACTGTTTGGAACTCGGGACGAAGAGCTTTTGGCTCAAACTGGAAGGGGTGACGAGGCTTTTGTCCTCAAGGGGACAGTGTTCATGGTTGCCCCAGTAGTGGAGAGGCCACGACAGCGGTTAAAGCCATCGTAGTGGAAGCCAACTACTAGTAAAGACCGCATCTGATAAGAATAGGCGCGATATACGTCTCATCCACCTGCTGGAAGCAATAAAAGATAGATAGGTGCTCACCCACTCTAAGCACATTCTCTGGATTGAGGGAGGCGTTCGTGGCTAAAGCAATTTTCCCGTTGAGCTCATTCTTATATGCGGGAAATTGAGGTGGTGGATCTGGAAAAGCTATGCTGGCTTTTGGGGGCGGTGTTGGTTGTCTTCTATTCTTATTTTGGTGTGACGTGATTTCCCGTTTTCGTTGCTCCGGTTTTGCGCCTATACCATCTTTCTTGTCTTTGACCTGAACTTACACCGCTCTTTGACCTTGTCACCTCACGTGTTGTTTAAATCAACCAATGGGTTTCGCTCTGTTGTAACCACCTTGCATCGAGTCCGTGTGGACTTTGGGATCCCGTTAGGAATTCGTAGTTCGGTGTATAGTAGCCGGCCTAGTACCACAACTTGTGGTTTAGGCAAACTTCCGGAATCCACAGAAATGTGGATCGGAATACTGTTGATCACTTCCAACTGTCAATGGGGCCATGCATTTGTCGATAAAGCAACATTTGAACGACTTGGCTTCTGGGGTTTCGCACTTAGCTGAACGTGGCCCATACGGTTACTGGAAGTGGTCAGTAATCTAACCCTTTCTGGTGCGTTTTATTTCGTGGTTTTCGTCGACATGAGTGCGCATGCATTTGTACTATTTCTAGCAAGGTTGTTGTAATAGTAGCTGTGTTGGAATGTGGATCGCCGGACGAGGTCACTTAGGAATCGATTGATCCGTGGTTATTTACCACATATTGATGTCACCAGAAGCAGGGTTGGTTGTGAATTAGGTAGCCTGTTGTTGATGTTTTCGCCGAACATGGGAATTCGCCACATGCGGGGACACCATTGGTACGTGGTTCGATGGATAAAACCTCCTTACCCACTTTCATTTACATAACTTTAAGAGTATTTTATATCCCTTAACGTGATTCGCCGGTAAGATGCAGTTTTTTCGTAATCTCACTGGCTAGTTTAGGATTTGTGCTGTACCATGGCCCACATACCTTCCATTCGAGCAGCTTCCCAAAGGGAAAAACAGGGAGGCCTACTTTCTTGCAGTCAGGAGACGCACTGGATGTGAACACTGCTTTGGACTCTTCGTGGACTGGGATCCTTCAAAAGATACAGGCGATTGCTATACGAACGGTTATCTAATGGGTCATCCTGTTCTGACATGTGTTTCGACTGACATTTTCCAGACGATTTATGAGAGTTCCACATCCACCGCACACCGACTGCTTGTCGGCTAGTGGTCGAATCAGACTCTTCACGAATTGCATGCAAGAAAACTTCTCGAGTGTATTTGCACTCCTTTAACTTCCAGTTTACTGGACGGTCTCCCACCAACGAGTCGGTCTTTTGTATACGTACCTACCTGCAATGGTATTGTTCACCCATTTTTCCCGCCTGTCCTATTTGAATGCGCCGATCACTACTGCATCTTTTCTACCTCCACAGCTACCTGATTCGGGAAGTAAAACGTTCACAAAGCTCCTCCTGGGAACCGGCGATGACTGGGGTTACTTTGATGGCAGCGGACGCTTTTTGTGACCAGATACTGGAGAAACGAACAGAAAAACTGACACCTGCGATCAGCTGAACTAGGCTAGCGATGAATTCCGGTGAACCCCCTGATAGTTTGACCGAACCATCCTCTCCTTTTTGAAGCGAATTTGTAAAACCTTTTATGCTCGAGTGTTGACCTGTACATACACTGTAGGCACTTTATTTCTTGCAGAGTGGCTGCTTTATCACGGAAATTGATTTTCTATTTGAGCAATGAGTTCCTTTTAGGTCCTGTCGTCATCCGTCGTCTCATAGGGCGTTCCTTAAGTTTAACCAGCTCGGCTGGCACAAAGGTCGACCTAGTCGACCACATCTACGTGGTACCCTGCCTCGTTTGTTGTGCAACAAATCTTAACTACTTCTATTCGTAGGTAAGCAGCCGCATAGACAAGCTGTTTTTTAAGGAAGGCCCATGTCTGCCATGTCAGACTTCAAACATCTAGAAAATTGGGTTTCCCCAGCGCCAATTGGCTTGTGTTGGTCCTCGATTGCTTTGTATATACATCAATACAGCCAGACGAATTGAGTAAGACCCCAAGTTGGAAAATCGTGAAAACGAGCTCCCCCTTAACTGTATTCTATTCAAGCACCGGTGTTTTTCACAGCCTCGTGAGTCGATACTGTCCTTTAGAATGAACACTGTTCCCCTGACGAACTCTTCACTTGGAAGACGCATGGTTTCCTCCGCCTCATGAACTTGGTCCTTAATGAGGTCAGCTGGTCGTTGAACTCAAGGTGTACTTCTGTGTGAGCACTTGCCATCCGGTAAGACCAATCCACTATATCACGTGCTAAGCTTCTAAGCTTCGGCGTTGTTCGGTTTAATCAACTGCGAATTTATCAGTTCCTCTTCAAAGGTCAACGGCTCTTCAGGTAAAGCTTTTTAATTATTCAGAGGTGATCAGGTGTTGGTCTGCTTATGTCCTCCCCACCTGGGAGTACTGGGCAAATCACAAAGAATGAACTTCAAGTTAACTGTTCGATTCGTCACAGGAGCGTTCATTTTAGGACAATGTTTTGAACCGTACTCCTCGCGAAACCGGCAATATGGGACGTCCGACATTATCACGCAATTCCACTAACTGATCTAGGCGCCATGCGACGCTTCTCTTGGTCCAAANCTTTCATTTACATAACTTTAAGAGTATTTCATATCCCTTAAATTGATTCGCCGGTAAGATGCAGTTTTATCGGCATCTCACTGGCTAGTTTACGATTTGTGCCGTACCGTGGCCCACATACCTTCCATTCGACCGGCTCGTTGAGCAGCTTCCTTCAAATTGGATTACAATGCACGAGCAATTATGAATTCTATGGGCTGTTGGTTTGTTTTCTGTGCTGGACACATATGGGTTCTGTTGATTTTTGTTCACAATTATACACCCCAAAGGGAAAAACAGGGAAGCCTAATTTCTTGCAATCAGGAGACGTACTGGATGTGAACACTGCTTTGGACTCTTCGTGGACTGGGATCCTTCAAAAGATACAGGCGATTGCTATACGAACAGTTATCTAATGGGTCATCCTGTTCTGACATGTGTTTCGACTGACATTTTCCAGACGATTTATGAGAGTTCCACATCCACCGCACACCGACTGCTTGTCGGCTAGCGGTCGAATCAGACTCTTCACGAATTGCATGCAAGAAAACTTCTCGAGTGTATTTGCACTCCTTTAACTTCCAGTTTACTGGACGGTCTCCCACCAACGAGTCGGTCTTTTGTATACGTACCTACCTGCAATGGTATTGTTCACCCATTTTTCCCGCCTGTCCTATTTGAATGCGCCGATCACTACTGCATCTTTTCTACCTCCACAGCTACCTGATTCGGGAAGTAAAACGTTCACAAAGCTCCTCCTGGGAACCGGCGATGACTGGGGTTACTTTGATGGCAGCGGACGCTTTTTGTGACCAGATACTGGAGAAACGAACAGAAAAACTGACACCTGCGATCAGCTGAACTAGGCTAGCGATGAATTCCGGTGAACCCCCTGGTAGTTTGACCGAACCATCCTCTCCTTTTTGAAACTCCTTTTATGCTCGAGTGTTGACCTGTACATACACTGTAGGCACTTTATTTCTTGCAGAGTGGCTGCTTTATCACGGAAATTGATTTTCTATTTGAGCAATGAGTTCCTTTTAGGTCCTGTCGTCATCCGTCGTCTCATAGGGCGTTCCTTAAGTGTAACCAGCTCGGCTGGCACAAAGGTCGACCTAGTCGACCACATCTACGTGGTACCCTGCCTCGTTTGTTGTGCAACAAATCTTAACTACTTCTATTCGTAGGTAAGCAGCCGCATAGACAAGCTGTTTTTTAAGGAAGGCCCATGTCTGCCATGTCAGACTTCAAACATCTAGAAAATTGGGTTTCCCCAGCGCCAATTGGCTTGTGTTGGTCCTCGATTGCTTTGTATATACATCAATACAGCCAGACGAATTGAGTAAGACCCCAAGTTGGAAAATCGTGAAAACGAGCTCCCCCTTAACTGTATTCTATTCAAGCACCGGTGTTTTTCACAGCCTCGTGAGTCGATACTGTCCTTTAGAATGAACACTGTTCCCCCGACGAACTCTTCACTTGGAAGATGCATGGTTTCCTCCGCCTCATGAACTTGGTCCTTAATGAGGTCAGCTGGTCGTTGAACTCAAGGTGTACTTCTGTGTGAGCACTTGCCATCCGGTAAGACCAATCCACTATATCACGTGCTAAGCTTCTAAGCTTCGGCGTTGTTCGGTTTAATCAACTGCGAATTTATCAGTTCCTCTTCAAAGGTCAACGGCTCTTCAGGTAAAGCTTTTTAATTATTCAGAGGTGATCAGGTGTTGGTCTGCTTATGTCCTCCCCACCTGGGAGTACTGGGCAAATCACAAAGAATGAACTTCAAGTTAACTGTTCGATTCGTCACAGGAGCGTTCATTTTAGGACAATGTTTTGAACCGTACTCCTCGCGAAACCGGCAATATGGGACGTCCGACATTATCACGCAATTCCACTAACTGATCTAGGCGCCATGCGACGCTTCTCTTGGTCCAAAAATGATTCCACTACCGTTGGCAGTTCCCAATGGTCGGTCTGATAGCCCTGAGATTTATCATCCATATTAGTCGTTACTTTTTAGTGGTAATTATAGATTTACAGATAAACCAGCATGTTTGTCATTTTCCACGTTCTTCCATCAAGCAATAAACGGATTTACTTTCACCCCGTAAACCCACGAGATGTGGGTTTCTTGGCGACAGGTCAGGAAAGGGAGTTATTGGGTTATGCCGCAGCAAGAGCAAGTGAACCCCTCGCGACCTCATGAATCATGAAGAGGCATTCGGAGGAGGGCAGATTCATTCACTCTGTATTCACCAGTGTGACTCACGGGTACACTAATCTACACTCATGGAGTCACTGAAACTACTCTTAGGAAACAACGATTGAAGAAGCCTGTGGTTTTATACAGTTTCAACGACTCCGTAATCTGTACATCAACACTCGAATACAGCTTTACATTAGCTCAACTGTGTCACTTGACATATGTTCGATTGAACTGAGCAGTCCTCATTGCATCTCTGAGGGACAGAAACATTTTATTCTTCGTGTCGGGAACGATTTGAAGACCTTGGCCAGTCAGCTGGATTGCCCTAGTAATTAAGGTCACAACGCTTGTAGCTGACCAGAAAGACTGCTCTAACTACCGCTAATCACATGCTTCCCGGCACGCATTCCTGTTTGTCGCACTTCACCCAGATTACGAGACTATTCTCTTGTACGAAAAGCCTGGTTTTCAAGTTTAGTAGACAGCATCACATGGGTGCTTTCCTGATAAAGCCAGTAAGGTCCAGCTAGACTCAGATCTCAAAAATATCCACTGGCCATATTCAAACACAAATATAAATTGCTCAACCGACTACCATTTGGATTTCCTGATGGTGGTGGTACTTATTGCAGGGTCGTTGGCATGAGATTTGCTGGAACCACTTAAAAAGTTTACCGTTTCGATATACATCTCACCGGTCGGATCGTGGGATGCAGCGAACCGGTGTATTCACAGGGTCCCTATTCTGGGGAGCAGAACTAGTATGACAGTCCAGTGCGAGTACTCCGAGCTACCTACGCTTGGGAAACTCATTCACGCAGTTTCATTAGGAATTGAAAACAAGAACGTCATCGAAATTCACTGCCATATCTCGCAGCGTTTCTAGTCAACTAGAGAGACTGCTCAGATTCCTCACACCCACTTTTACACATGTCAACTCCGAGGTTTGTCACTTCCCCAAATGCGATGAGCGGACAAAGATTCTGATGCCTTGGCTGAAGTCCGGGCACCACAAACAAACACTCGTTTTTCAACTGTTTGGTTGCGGAAACAGGGACTCAGCTGGATCTCACGTTTGTGATGTTTTTCAGGCAACTGAGTGTGATGCATCAGGTTTTCAAGTAGAACATAAGGTTGCCGGAAACCCGGGGACTGCGCCTACCTGATGAGCCCCAAAAAGGGCGAAACCGCTGGTGGGCTGTTGACGGATTTTCAGCAACCTTATGAGTAGTACATTACAAAGATACAGGTATTAGAGAACTGAAGATATCTCAGCTCCCATGTGGGAACCGTAGTTCGCACTCATAGTTTCTCACAGTAGATGCTTCAAAATAGTACCAGTGTGTGCGAGGCTAAATCCCCACACAAGGGATCCCCTATCACATCATATAGAGCAAAGAGTGCTGCACAACCTCGACTGACTTTACTGCAATTGGTATTTTCAGTGGCTGGATCTTCAGGACTGACGTTAGACTCTGTGAATCCGAAGCGAACGCTGCTCGTTCCGGGCTCGCCACTTCTACTGCTGGATTCCGGAAAATGAACACAAAAAATCTTTTCAGCCCAGTCGCCTGGGCATGACCGTTTCTACCAGACAGTTATCAATAAGTCAGACAAACTCTGATTTTGCCCCTTGTCTATACAGGTGATTCACGTCCAGTGACTGAAGAAGGCGAAGAACATATTAACAATTGGGCACCTTTATCTCAGGGTTGTGCAAGTCAAAAGACGATCAATGCTTCAGAGCTTTTGAACGTAAATCATGTGCTTAACTGCATTGTGTTACATGTTGCCGTACGGACTTGATATGTCATCTCACTTTATATCACCACCGCCTAAAATTTGATTTGATTCTGCATCAGTCCTTTAGTTGGCTGACCAAACCGTTAGATCTTACGATGAAAATGAATTATTTTCGCTACTTGGTTGTTTCCAGTAGTGTTGCTGTGGTGGTGAAGCTGCCTACGCTGTCCTCAAGGTAACTGCCAACATTTCAGGCGTTCGATCAAATTTATGCTTCCTTAGCCTCATGACCGATGCGGTTGAAATGTACTCGCCAAAAGTTTCCGCAATATAACCTATCATCGTTGCCTCATTCTCCAACATCGGTTTGATAAAGTCCTGACACTGCCGCTCATCTGATTCATCTATTTCCGGCTGTGTTGAGGTCGTCTTCAATCGGTCCATCATACTGAAAACTGTTCATTATTTATGCCCGTCGGATTTAGACTCGGTTTTCAAAACATCCGGATGTAGGTTTGGCGAACAGCGCACTTTGTCCGATTTAGAGCGAATCGCATTGGCGTAGAGGGGTCGGTCCGGGGACGTTTCGTTCCACGGTCCTCGTCTGCCCACATGGCCTATATTCTACGAACCTGGATCTTCCCGCATTTTCCAGAATATTCATTCGTGTGGGGGGCTAGTGCCATTTCGGCGTCTTCTGGTGGGCATCAGGGGAGCATCACGGTGGGTTCCAGTCTAAAATATACACCTAATTTGAATTCCATATTCTTTTGAGTTTTGTACAGCAGAGCTCACCGTTGAGGGCATGACCATGGTAGAGTTTCAATGAAGTTTAGCACCATTCGCCACAGGGTTCGGCGGACAGCCACTACCGTCTGCCAAATCTATGTCTTGGTACCTTATGTGTATTAGACCAGGTCACTTTCGCGCACATGATACATCCGCGTTCGTCATCCATTGGGATTTTGCTTGTTTGAATAATCGATTCGCGAGTGTGTGACTCGGGTCACGCGTCACGTGTCCAGACGATTAGCCAATCCGCGTTCGTCATCCATTGGGATTTTGCTTGTTTGAATAATCGATTCGCGAGTGTGTGACTCTTGGGTGACGTGTCGCGTGTTCAGTTTGAGTTAATTCGATATGATCCGCGAATCAGTTTGAAGACGGTATAAAGAACAAGAATCTCACCGACCGTATGCGTGTCGGGGAAATTCTTCTAGAAACCAAGTGGAATGAAATATATAAAAAAATACTGGGTTCTTTGAATCCTTTAGGTCATTAGGGGGCATTGTTCGGTATAACCTTTCGGCTTCCCCCAGTCAGAGGGATTTATCGTGACGTTGTGCGTACCTCAACAAATGCGATACACCAACCGTGATTGAACACTTTTCGGAAGTTGGGTGTCGTAGGGTCACGTATGGAACTTCACACTCGAGCGGAGGGCTTCGGTGGGATGCAGCTGGCGGTGTGGGAAATGTGAGTTGCGAAACAGTAGGTATTGATTATCTCGCCATCATCCGTGGACTCTTCACCTAACAGTCTACATAGCGCTTTGAGGCCCATCGGAACTCAAACACAGCAGTTTTGTTGACTTGTGTTTGCTTTTAAGCCTAATATGCCATTTGGTCGAATTTTTTTCTCTCGTGAGCTCCACACGATTCCCGCCATTCAAAGTGGTCCATTATAACATTATACCCAAACAAATGGGAATTAGTTCAAACGAATTTCAACTAATTTTCGTGCATTAGAAATTTTAGGTTTTCACAGCATCTTACTGGTTGTTTTGATATGAAGTCCTTGTTTACAAGTGTCATACTCGGTGACACCGTTATGCATCCATGTGACTCCCTATCGAACTCTGTCGTAAGTTCGTGGCGTTTCTGACTGCAATCCTGAGGGTCTTCGGTTTATTGTACTCCTGACACATTCAGCGAAAACACACTTAATACGCTACTTCTTGTAGTGGGTCCGAGTGGAACCAACTTTTGGTGGAAACTCAGAAAACTACATTCCCACAACAACCTGATGACCCAGAAGCAGAGGGGAACCGTTTGTCGGGCCTGTCCGCAACTTACTCATGAGTAGCGTGTTACGTATATGTGATATTTAGTTACATTTTCAAGTTCACGGA